CCCTTGCGATTACCCTTTTATTTTGATGGTTACAATTTCTTTGGATTATGGAGTAAATATTTTGAGATCTATAATATTTAATCAGCTGAATAAAGTTTATAAGAAACATAAAAAAGTCTAGGTAAATATCTCATATTTTTTGCTTTACATAAATAGATTTGGATTCATGACTTTCTTTTAAGAAAGCTTATGGCTTAAAAGTCTACGCTTATTAGAGATAAAATTAATTGTAAAAATAAAATTTTGATGAAAAAGTATATAAAATATATTGCATATACGTAATTATAAAATTATGTTTATATTTTGTTGGTTTAGTTTGATTTTTCTTCGGTTTGTTTTTGATAAAGGCAAACCAAGCAACATATTGTCGATCCTTTAAAATTTAAAATCAAATCAAATCAAACCCAAAAAAATTGGTTATTTAATCGGTTCGGTATTCTGTATTCGGTTTGAATCGATTTTTTAACGAACCCTAAACATCCCTTCTTCGGTTCATTAATTTCCATGTTATATATTGAACTATTTTTATGGAGTTTTAGAAATTTAAAAGTTCTCATAGATAGAACTATAGGAGCTCCCGCTTCTTCTTTTATAAGGATGATTAAACCACACAACATAATTAATTTGAGGTGATTTCCTCACATAAACCATTACTAGGAAAAAATGAATTTTCATTTTCTGTAGCTCATATGCTATATATGGAAAGAGTTACTACTAAGTTACTCTTTAAATTTCTTTAGTTCACCTTTGAGCAGTCAACATCTGGACTAATCTTGAAAGGAACATTGGCACCACATTGCCCGGGGATACTAGCGGCACGGCTAACTTCTTCTCCGGTGGCGGCGGAGGCAAGATTTTTCACGCACGAGCACGCACTCTGGTGGTCAGGGGTGGTCGTTGCGCTAGCAAGAAGAGATTTAAGCCCACTACAACATTCTGTCGACACGCTTCCACCAATCAACACGTAGCTAAGGCATGGTTGCAGGTCGTTGTATACTGTGTCACATGTGATCGCCGCCATAGCCGGTGGCGGTGCCACCACCATGCAAATAAGGAGGAAAGAAAGAAGTAATTTCTTGCTTATAAGAATCGTAGGGTCACTAGTCATTGTAGGGATTAGTAGTTGAGTGAGATCGAAGTAAAAGAGATGTCACTTTTGTCGATTAAACTTGAGAAAAGGAACTCTTTGATATCCTGAAGAAGCTTTGGCAAAGAGGATGTATTTATACAGGTTGAACTTTGATTACTCCTTTGTTGTTTAGTGTTCTTCAAAATCATAAGATTACAATAATAACATTAAGGCAGGAAAGAATTTAAAAGATGCTTTTTCTTCATTGGATTTTCTTAAATTTTCTTTTCATTTATGTTATTTCTTTGACGGTTTGCACAATTAAAATTTATACGATAGTATATTACATAGCTTGTTTGGTTACCGTATAATCAATTACTCTCTTGGATTTTTTTTTCAATTTCTTGTTCTAGCCTTTTAGTTTATGCAATTGTGTTGGTCTAAATTAGACCACTAGCGAGGTATCATATTTAGGAGTATCAACGCGCGTACCCCGTCTCGGTGGATAGAAACTTTAAAAAAATAAATTAAAATGTGTTAGTTATAAAATAAAAGTTTTAAAAAACTGAATTTTTTCAAAAACCATGATTATTTATCCTATTTAGCTAACTTAATAAAGGAAGTCCCATAAAAAACCTCAGTCATCTCTGTCAATCTATTTAATTTAAAATTTATTCCAGTTTTATAATTGCATTACTTTAACATCAGAAATAATCATGTGCAAAAACACGTAATCCTTGAATATTTAAGAGCTTTTCTATTTTTTTTTTTTTTTTTTTTTTTTTTTTGGAAAGGCATATTCTTAATGCATATTTCTTTTGGAAAGGCATATTTTTATGGTCAGACTTTGTTCTTAGAAGGCATAAATGCTTAAACAGTGCTAGTTAATAACAGAAGCAGTCCTTTTTTCTGTGAGAAAAATGCACATTATTGGAATTTCTTTAATCAATAAAATATACTTTATGAATTGTTTTCAACAAATTAGTAAAGAAAAGCTTTCTATTGCAAAAGTAGAATCCAAACTATCACTTGAATCATACTTACTGTTCCTGAAGGAAAAAATATCAAAGAAATATGAAAAGCTACAAATAGTTACAAAAATTATGGCTCAATAGATATGCCTCCAACCTCAAGATTATCAAGTATTTTTTTGTCCTTTACAAGTCTATAACCAAAAAGAACTGCAAATAATACTCAGTGAAGAAGCAGCAATTGTTGTTCTTACTTATGGTGACAATCAAATTAATCCAATAATTGGGGAAAAAATCTGGTTGTCACTTGGATCCTGAAAGGCCATATACCAAAGCCAAAAAGTAGTTATATTTCAAAGTTTAGAATATATTAGTTTAGCTAAAGTTTAAGATATTAAATGTAGTCACATAATATGGTTGTAGCTTAATTTACTTTTTAAAGGATATAAAGTTAGTCAAATAAGGAAAGAATTTATATAAGATAATCTTAGTTGATTTAAAAGTCCTAAATATTTGAAGTTTCTGCATAATTCTATAAAAAGAATTAATATGAAAAATCTCAATTAATATTAAAATTCTAAATATTAGAAAAATAATTAAATGATAATTTTATTCAATGTAAAATATTTTTTTAAATTATATAAAGATAAATATTTTGTATTGGGGTTATCTGCTACCGCATATCAATTACTACAAAATGTTAAAAAAAGTAAATATTATTAAATAATATATTTGAGTTATAAAATAAAAATTTAAAAAGTATAAATTATTGAAAATAAAAAATGTCAACTCTCGACTCTCATGAGTGACTATTAAAAAATTTATAATTATCACGCTCTTCACTTATATGTCATTCAAGTGGGATTATATTTATGACGCAAAGAAGGCAATAATTGAGTTTAGTTTTTATAGATGTCAAGCCATCACAATATATATGTTAAAAAGAAGGTCCTTCTAAAATTTTCTCAATTTCTGCTACGTGCTTTTGGTCTGTTAGCAACAGAAAAAATAAAAATAAAAATAGAATAAACTAAATGTTGCTGCAAGCAAATTCATTTGTCAAATCACTATCACCTCATCTGAGTTTGAACTTACTATATAACAAATCAACAATATTTACCATTTAAAAGTTAGAAGGAACTATGCTATTTAAGGAAAGAGATTTAATTCACCTTCTGCATGGTGATGTATCTGCAGTTAAAATCAAAGAGTACAATAAAAAATATTTAAAAGAAATACACAAGAAGTTGCCCCAGAAAGGGATGAATGTAGACAATTCCTGGGCGATACAGATTGTATCCCATTGTGATATTTACACGTTGAATTTTATAACACTGGAAACAAAGTTCTTATTAGTCGAAGCAACCTCATAATTTAGCACTTGGCTGAAATAAAAATTTTCCATTAATTAGAGATTCTGAAAAAACAGGATAGTAATATTTAGAATTTAGAAAAAATAAACATAAAAATAACTTAGTGGAGAATCATACCTGAATAAACGTCGCCGTAACAAAAGAATATAGAAGTATTGAAAATCAATCTAAAGAAATATTTTTAAGCAAGAGAAATTAACTATAATTGTACATATAAAATCCAGAGCTAAAATTGAAAAATATATAGATCAGAAACCTAAATAGATCCAAAATCATACTTGCATATCACAATTCTGTTTTGGTACTAATAAACGAAACAAAACTGCAAAATAGATAGGAATTCAAGTAAATTTATTTGCAAATATATCCTTATCTTGACCTTAGGTGCATGAATTCTACTGTAGCATTGCAAAGCAACTGAAAAACCTACCGTTTGCAACCACAAGCAAGTAAAAGACATAGATTAATCGAAAATAATTCTCGTAAGTTGGATAACAAAAATCGGCAAGCAACAAATTTAGTACCCAATCTGCTGAACAAATGTAATTTCCAGTTTATGGTTTCTGAATACCACATAGATCATATCACGTGAATAAAGTTTTAGCATTAGGTTCACTCGTTGAGATGTGCAAAAGAGCATATATTGCTATAAACCAATGCAAAATAGTGAGTCTCGCAGAAACATATTTTCTTTATAACACTCGTTTCTACTTCGTTAGAAAATTATTAGAAGCAGAAGATATTGACTTGCGTAAAAATTAATTAACTTCCTTGTATAAAACTTAGAGATATTAATTAATTAATGAATGAGTCCCACAGAAACAGATTTTCTTTATATAACTTGTTTCTACTTCGTTAGACAATTATTATGAGTAGGAGATTGGCTTGCGTAAAAATTAATTAATTTTCTTGTATAAACGTAGAAGTATTAATTAATTAATAAATATATGAAAATAATGATAAAGCTTTTATAAATTAAAGATACATTGTACTTGCAAATTAGGACTCGTATATAGTTAAAATAGGAAAATATTTAGTAGTCAATGTTTTAGTTGTTTTCAAACTCTTAAATATTAAGAAAATAATTAAATTACTATTTTTTCTAATGTGAAATCTATTTTAAAGGGTAAAAAAGACGAACAATATTTCGCTAAAGGTATTCATACTTTTAATATAGTATAGATAGATGAGTAGTTTGACTTCATTTAGAGTTTTACCAGGATTCTCTAGATTTCATTTTGTTTCATCTGATTTGACTCATCTAGTTTTTAATGCTTAATCAATAATCAGTATAGAGAGTCTTGCTTAAATAGAACTATTGACTTTAAAAGAATTGTACTTATATTTTAAATTTGAACTATGTGCAGCATACTTAATAAATTTCCTTAATGAGAGTCTTGCTTAATGTATAGCTATGCTGTTTAGTCTAATAGAATATGTCTACGTGTCTTAATTGCTTATGTGAACTATGTGCAACATGCTTAATGAATTTCCTGCTTCTTCTTTGACTGGTACTTAGCCTAAATTGTAAGATTTCGTAATATAGTTGTATTTCTATTGTTGGCGCTGCATATTTACTTTAGGACTACGGAACGGTATTTCGGGAGATCCCCCTGTCTTGCATATTTAATTTGGGACTACGAAACGGTATTCCGGGAGATCCCCTCTGTCTTGCATATTTACTTTGGGACTACAGAACGGTATTCCGGGAGATCCCCCTGCATATTTACGTTTGGGACTATGAGACGGTATCTCAGGAGATCCCCTGTTGTATTTCTGTGTACTGAGCTGTTACCTTCTATGAATTCTTTCTTTTTAAATTTCAGTCTTTATTTTACTGCGATATTTCATTCTTGCCTTGCTTTATTATCATATTCCAGTAGGGCCCGAACATGACCTCGTCACTACTCTACCGAGGTTAGGCTTGACACTTACTGGGTACCGATTGTGGTGTACTCATGTTACTCTTTTGGATATGTTTTTCGTGTGCAGATCCAGGTGCTCCTTATCAACCGCACTATCAGTGAGCCGGGGCAACTTTGGAGACTTCAAGGTATATCTGCCGCGTTCGCAGACCTCAGAGTCCCCTTCTACTCTTCCCCATGTCCATTATCTTCTGTATTTTTCTTTTGTTAGACTCTAATATATTGAGGTACTAGATTTTCCTTCTGTAGTTTGTGATTCACGATGTTCCGGGTTTTGAAAAATGCTGTGTAGTATATTGAAGAGTTGGCTGTTGTACATGCCAAGCGGCATGATATTCAATTATGTTGTTAAATTTATGTTCTTATTTCATTATTCCGCAAAAGTTAGGCTTACCTAGTCGTAGAGACTGGTGCCGTCACGACGTCATACAAAAGGGAAAATTGGGTCGTGACAATAAATCTCTTTCAAATATAATTTCTCTAAATAAATATCTTTCAAATATAATTCTTTCAATAAATCTCTTTCAAATATAATTTCCTCAAATAAACATCTTTCAAATGCAATTCTTTCATATAATACTTTTTGAATAAAAATCCTTCCAAATAAATATTTTGAATATAATTTTTTCAATTAAAATTCACCATGTGATACCCCATTTCATAATCATAAAAATACGGGTCTCAGCCCTTTTTTATATTTTTCGTAAATACGGTTCTCGACCCACTTTTATATTTCTACGGCACTTCGTGCCCATAATTAAATCATCATATTTTTCCAGCACCTCGTGCCCACTTTTCATATTACAGCTGTACGAACAGTTCACGT